GGTGATGCTGGACTTAGTTATTAGGAAAATTCTATGTAGTTATTGTATATAGTTACAAGAATCTTAATAAAGTACTAATGTGGCTGCTTAAGAGCAAAAAAAAAAAAAAAAAAAAAATAATTAAGCACCAAAAGTGTATGCATAGCTAGTTGTAACCTCTTATGTAAAAGAGCTCTTGAAGGTTTTTGTATTAGGTTAGCTTTATTTATATAGGAAAAAAACAAATAAATAAAATACAGAATATATATACAACTAATTTTCTTTTTCTAACACAACAGACTTTCTTTTTAATAATAAGAACAATGAGAATAATGAGAAGTAATATGATAGTAATGCAACTGTAGATATTGTAGAATCTTGTGAAAATATTGACATATTTGATAATTGTAAGATATTAGATATTGTCTTTATAGAATCATTAATATTATATATTATTTTGTGTATAGTGCATACTATTGCTATTCTAAAAGTTAATAATGCATAAATTAGTAAGTAGACATCTTCAAATTTTGTAGTTAAAACATATAATAAAATTTTGGCTTTTTTGAGTAAGCAGTTTTTATATATAATCGATTCTTTGCATATGCAATGAAATTCTGCTGTATTGTCAACTATATTAATTATAAATATTGATAACATGCACTTTATTGCCAAACCTCTGAATGTTTTTATATTTTTAGAAATCCTTATTATATTAATAGAATCCTTTACAAATTAGTTTAATTTTTTATGATCACTTAATTGTTTATTATCAAAAGAGTTTGGCTAACCCATTTTTAAATATCTAATTTTAATATTTTTTCTCTTTATCTTTGTAATGATCATATAATCAGACCTTCATATATGCTGATAAGATTTCTTCTGTATTGTAATAGCTAGACTCACCTTATCTTTTTATATATCCTATATATTGAAATCTATATATAAATTACTTATTGCAATATTAATTAAAGATGATATGATCTTAATTACATATGTTCCTTTATTTATAATAAGAACTCCTTTTGCTATATACAATTTTCACTTATCTGAGTTCCAAACTCGATTTAATACCTCTAATATTTGTTGTGTAAGCTTTTGTAATCTTTCTGGTCTATCAAAAAACTCATCAAATAATGCATTATCAAACTTTTTAAAACTTCTTGACATATTCTTCTTTTTTTCTTTTTGGACAAATATCTTACAAGTTTGCTTTAATATTTTATTTATTGATATTTGAAATTGTTCAACTGAATTCTTAAATATATTACAAAACTTCACAGACATATTTGTAAAAAGTAGTAAAGTATCATCTAATATATCTAAATACAAGAAGTGATCATACTCTAGATCCTTCACTTTTAATTCTCATATTCTATTTTTTATGCTTTTTCATATAGCCTTTTCATCTTTAGAAATCAATAACATCATCTAAATATTTAAATCAATTTTAGAAAATAAAAATTTTATCTTATTAAAACTTATATTAAAATAACCAATCTAATATTAACCTTATACACTTTATTTTTTAATGACTTGTAATTTTTTTTTGCATAAATTATCTAAGATATTATCACTTATTATTAATGTACAATTACAATTATTATCTATATAAGCAAGCTTATTTTTTATTTTTTTCACTAATAAAAAAAAGGAAAATTTATATTTAAAGGTCCAAAAATGAAAATAATTACAGATAAGGACCTAAAATAAAAATTCTTATATATATTGGTCCAAAATTAAAATTTATTACAAATAAGAACCTGTCCAATCTTTAAGTTATACTAATAGATTAAGCTACAAAGCTTACATAACATCATTCAAAAAAAAAGATATTCGAATTATAATAACTATACAATTTTCACTAAAATAACTAAAATGTAAATAATTTTTTTATATAAAAAAACTAAAGGTATTATTTATGAATCTCACTAACAAACTTATAAATTTACAAATTTTAACACATTGATTAAAAAGATTTTTTTATATATAATTAAATAACATAAATAAAAAGATATAGTATGCTATGATCATTTTGGACATTAAAATCTTTTGTATTTACTAAATAAATTAATATTACTAAATAAGAAGAAAAGTATGAAATGTTCACAAATTTAAATAGCTTATTTAAATAATCAATCAAAACTATAAAATTCTTAAAAGTCAAAACTAAGTCAAGAGAAGGTTAAAGTCAAGACGAAAGTCATAGTGAAAGCAAAAATTTAAGTTAAAGCGAAAGTCAAAGTAAAGGAGAATCAAAGTGAAAATTAAAGTGAAGCCAAAATGAAAGTCAAAGTAAAAGCGAAAATAAAAATAAATCAGTTCTAATGTTTATCATTACTATATTAAGCATGATAGACAAAAAACCAACAGGAGAAAACGTTGATGTTACACAATTGATTTTACACACGGTGTGAAACACATAAAAAAATTTTTTTACAATACTTGAACAAT